ACCCTAGCTTGGAGAAGGCTGGGCAGTGGAAAGTTTTATCCCTGACCTGTTACAGTGACTTACGCACCCCTGACTTGGAAATGCAGCAGAGTGATGGGAAGAAAATGAGTTTATTGAACCACTTATTCGCAGATGAAAGGGAATCACAGGAGTGAGGGACTAGCACTCTGTGGGATTCTCATTAATTCCTTTTGGCTAATGACCCTTTGAAAAAATCAGCTGTGACTGATAGCCTAAAGAGAAGCTTTCCATTGGTACCACCTGGTTTTCTTGGGGGGATCAGAAATAAGATGGTTGACACAGTTGTCACAGAAAAAAAAAATTAAAACATGCAAGAAACTTCCTATTTTATTAGTGGCTAAAATATATTTACAAAACCCTTTAGCAACATCAACATAATCACTGACTGTTTCATTTTTAAATTTTACTTGGCCTGATTTGGGGGCATCATGGGATACACTAGAAGTTCTTTTATTCTGGAAATGCTGCAACATTCATCTTTTTTCTCAATACTTGTAAGATGGTGATATTTTGGTGTCCACTGACTGTCCAGCACAAGAGGCTGAAATTGGGACCAACAGACTCATCTGAAGATAAATGAAGATTAAAGTTATATTCCAGGACAACTGTCCCAAATGTGGCTGAAAATGGGCAAGCGGAGATTGTGCTGAATGTTGTGACTGCACTTCCAGGCTGTCTCAGATTCGGCTCATGACCAGTGGGCTCTGAAGGAGACACGTCAAGCAGTGTGGTGACATGGGTTACACCTCTCTCCAATGTTCCCTAAATACCCACCATTCCACCAGCAAGAGGACATCGTAGCAAATCCCACCTGCTGTTATACCATTTGGGGTCATTATATCAGTGAGTGTCTTGTGTTAAAAGGCCATGTATGGTTAACCTAAATAATAATCGGCAAATTAATATACTTATTATTACAAAGACAGATAGTAATCTGAAAATTACACAGATTATCCCATTTAATCCTCAATTTCACTCTATAAGATTACCTTTTAATCAACTGGCAAATTCCAGCTTAGGGATGCAATTAACTTACCTAATGTATGACTTCAGAGCCTGAGTTCTGAATTAACTATACTCATTTGCTGTCTAAATGTCGGTGTAGTAAGCTTCTGAGTTGGTAAAGAAGGTCGGTGCAAGGGACTTCCTTGCAGATTCAGCATTCCTTGCTGAAGACTCGAGATCTGCCTGCACACCTAGGTGAGCAAGCATCCCTCAAGTAGGAATGGCAATTTCATCACAGGGTTAAGTGGTATCTCCAGCCCTACCTCTTAAAACACATAAGTTTTGTCCAAGATGGAAAGTGTGGAAGCATACAGCCCCCCGCCCCCAAGAGAAAGGAAATAGAGATGGGAAGATGATCAAGTTCCAGGAATCTCCTCCTCAACTTTGCTGTCACAGGGTCCTGTCCTTGGCCAATGCTTCTCTCTCTGTAGACAAAGACAGCACAGGGAACTATTGAAATGAATGATAAACAGCGCTCGTGGCGGTGCCGGTTACTGGCAGAAAAAGGCCACGGTCACAACAGAACCCGGTTGCTTAGTAGCGGAGAGCTTTATTAGGAGGAGACGCCAAAGGACCCAACCTGGGGAGGAAAAAGAGAGAAAGATGGTGGGGTGGGGGGAGAGAGAGCTGGGCAGAATGGGAGAGAGAGAGAGTGGGGTCTGCGTCCGGCATTTTTAAGGCACAGATTGTGACCACGCCACACATAGGTGAGCGCACACCGACGATGTAAGATGCAAGACCCTTTACTTAACTCCTAAACTGTACATGTGCAGTCATGTAGCTGGAGTGAGGGCAGAATGCTAACAACTATGACTTCAAGTCAAACCAGAAGAGGAAAGGCAAGAACATCTACCAAATGAAGAGAAATGTCTTTCAGGTGAAAACTGTTAACTAAAGGAGAGGTTAAAGGAAATGACATTTCACTCAATACCCACTACTCGTCATGTTAACAATAGTGTTTTCAGAGAGTTAAAACCAAACAAAACCATTACTCGTGGGAGGAAATTAGGATTTGTGCGCTGTACATCTGTTTTTTGTTGCTGTTGTTGTTGTTTGTTTTGTTTTTCTATTTTCTGTTTGCTTTTTTCTTTTCTTTTTTTTTTTTTTTTTAGGTTGAAAATGAAAATAAAATGTTAAGTTCTTTGGGGCCACTGGTGGGAAATGTTGACAGCTTGTGGTGAGAAGCCAGGCCCCAGATAGGAATCCTCATGTTATTTCCCTCCCTCTCAGTGAATAGGGAGCAAAGGCCAAGTGGTCCTCCACACCCAGGAGGAAACTCCCTCTGCTGTACACCTTGGCACCTGCTGGAGAAACTCACTAAGTAAAACCTACAACCCGGAGCATTCTTAGACACTTGCTAACCCTCAACCCATTCCTAGCATGAGCTGCCTCTAAGGAGAACATGGAAAATAATGTTATACCACTCATGGAAAAACCTACTGGATGTCCAAACAGCTCATTTCATAACGCACTTTCCAGACTAATAGAGCCACTGGCCTCACCAGTGTCACAGGGCCCTCGACAGCGACCATTTAGTCAGGAACTTTGGAGCCACCTCCGGTCTCCAATAGCCAAAGTCAACCGAGGTATAGTTACGAGATGGCCTCAAGAGGACAACACCTAATAAATAAAGTCTGCTTGGGTGACGGTTTGACCTGCAGGACTCAGCGGCCAGAGAGTCGAGGTGACTACAGCCATCCCAAACATCTTTCCCCGAGGATGTTCACCAGCATTCAGAGAGCCCAGCCAGCCCCTGTAAATGGGCAGTAAAGGAGTAAAGAAAGCAGGCAGACAGCTTAGCACACAAGCAGGGCCATTTTTTCTGTTTCTCACTTATCTTTGTTCTTCATGGTAGAGTGGGCCTCCCTGTCCCCAAGTTCCACTTTCCATAATTTTAATCACATGTGATCAACTGCCAAACTACTAAACGGAAATTTGCAGAAATGAATGATTCTCACATTTGAAATAACTGTTAATAACACATTATCACACTTGTTCTATTTACTATTATAGCCAGTCTCTCACTGGGCCTACTTTATATACTGTGCCTACTTTATTGTAGCTATGTTTATATAGCAAAAAAAATCTAGTATTTATAGGTTTGAGGACTATAGGCAAGTACAGACATACACTCAGGGTCCCAGATGTGACCCCTGTAGATAAGAGAATTCTACAAAGTAAAGGTTGGACAGGCATGCATTACACCTTTGAGCATTGTCTTCTTGTCCTTGACGTGACATCATAGATAGTGTTTCCCTGTTAATTAACCTGGGATGCTCTGCCTCTGCTTTGCTTTAAGGTTGCACTCTGCCTATAGAATGTGGTTCTCTGCTTAGCAATGAGTTGTCTTAACAACTTCCACCATTACATCTCTCTAAATCCTAGCTCCCCTCTCTTCTAAATGGCGTCGATGTCTGGGAGAAAACCAGGAAAGTTTGATGGATTCCTACAATCTTTTGATATGACTGGCTACTCTGGGAAGGAGTCCTTGCTACTTGGATTTCTGTTGCTTTGTGGATGGAGTCCTGAAAGGAAGGCAGCATCTTCTGCCTCTGAAGAATAGATTGCTCACATAGCTTTGCACCAGTGCATTCTGGCAACCCCTCTCTGCCTCTGTACCTCCAGCTGCTGATTAAAGACTGACTCACCACCTCTCTGTGCAGCATAAAGGTCTCTCTCCTTTTGATCGCTGCTTCCCTGAATTTTACGTGTGCTTCCTCCCTCTGAGCTTATTGCATTCACTTGACAGTGCATAGTTTTTATTAAAAATGAAGATATTGTATGATTTAGAAAACAAATTCTATTTCAGATTCCCAAGATCATAGAACAATACACTTCTTTAATTTTCATTTCTACTCCTAACTGTAGGAACCTGGGTGAAACCACTCATACAGTGGGAATCTGGAGCAGTCACGTGGTCATGATTTCCAGAGGTCAAGCTCAAGGACAAATCCTTAGCCCTGCCCCCCAAGTAAAAGCAAACCATGTGCTGACTTCAGGTCATACTTCAGGACATGATTTTTGACATCTGGAAAACAGTAATGTCTGTTGACAAAACCTTCTCTAATATCCCTCCCAGCTCAAAAATACTGTCTTCTGTTCAACTTTTACATGTATTCATCCACGTAGAAGACACCTCCACAACTAATGAAAAGAAAATTGCCGGGCGGTGGTGGTGCACGCCTTTAATCCCAGCACGCAGAGGCAGAGCCAGGCAGATCTCTGTGAGTTCGAGACCAGCCTGGTCTACAGAGCGAGATCTAGGACAGGCACCAAAACAACACAGAGAAAGTCTGTCTCGAAAAACCAAAAAAAAAAAAAAAAAAAAGAAAGAAAGAAAAAGAAAAAAGAAATTGGTGAAAGTCACATAAGTACAATAAGAAGGAAAACAGTGAGGAAAATGTCACAAGTGATATATGGGCAAAAGGTAAAATGACTGAACTATCCTCCCTTGTCCTTTGAGCCATTAGAATAAACACACATGTCCATGTGTACACGTGATTCACAGGCACGTTTCCCGACCCACCCGAAGAAACACAGGGGCACCTAGGGCTTAAGAGAGTTCGGGAAATTCTTAGCAACAGGGAGTGTTTGCTGGTGGCCTTTAAAGATGTGTTTGATTCCATCGGATGGGCCTGGTGGAGGTGGGTAAAACAGTAAGGGCAAATGGATATTTATTGAACTGATTGATGAGCCCAGGTGTAGCTATCTGACATAGTAAGTAACATTCCAGACATGCTCATTCACCTGTAGATGCCAAGACAGAAGAGAGGGAAAGAGCAAGGAAGGAGGAGAGATAAAGTGGTTGGTCAAACTGGCAAGCCAAAGTGTCATGTTCAAGGTCAGCTTTGGAATCATCACCATGAAAAATTCAACTGAAGAATAGTTACTAAACTCCAGGGCAAAAACATCACAAACTATGAATTCACAGAAGATAAATACTATTATTCATGTCAATGCTAATTCACTGTGGCTCTTATATTTCTAAAATTTATTTTTAAATTAACACTTCAATTATAAAAATAGCGTATAAATTCATTGTTTAAAGATTAACTCCTATAGTGCAGATCAAATCTATTAATATCACTGATTAAATATAACAATGTTGCAACAAATTTTACCTCTCATTTGAGGTATATTATTGTACCTTTGAAAATAAAAGAGTTTGTTTAAAAAAAAAAAAAAAGAATCAAAGCCAAATGCATTCAATTTGCAAGGTGGCCAACATGCCATGGAATCTTTGTCAAAGTGTCCCAATCTGAAAACACAAGGAACTGAGTCAGATGACTTCAAAGATCCATGCTAGTTCTAATCGATTGTAAGTTGCACATGCATGCAGCCAATAGGAATTACTGACCAATCATGAATAGTTCTTGAAATAAGACATAGCTCAGATGGCTAAAATAATGAATTCTCAATGATTAATTCTTTGTTCTTTGGGGGTTTTTTTTCACAATGAGTTTTCTTAATGGCTGCCATCATCACATATCTCCAATCCCAGCACTGCCCCACTCCCACCCCCTTGACGTCTGGAAGAAAATCAGGAGAGCTTGGTAGATTTCTGTAATCCTTAGATACGGCTGGCTGTTCTGAGAAGGAGTTCAGTTTTGTTACACATAGAGGCACAAGACAAGTATGTGGCTCAGCCTTCAAGTTTGCTGTGAAAAGCCATCCTGTTGTTTTATATATATATATAGGTGTCCAAAAGCTTCAAAAGTGCAAACTCGATAGCTCTGTTGTCAACTGTGAGAATTTTTGTTTAATGGTAATGGAATAGGGACTCTGGAATGACCCAGCATCCTTAGAACAGTGAACTATTTTCTATGGAGCAAAGGACTGTGGGATTTGTAGTGTTCTCTGCTACGTCGGTGCTCAGCTATCCATCGGGACCTGGTTGCTGATGTCTCCTCCTCTGTCTGCTCTCCAGATTCATACTCCTCGTCCACTGCATAGAACGGTGGCTTTGGCCGGATGACAGCCCTCCTGCCCCATCCGGTATGCTCCTCCCAGCCGGTGTTGCTTCTTCGGTGGCTGAAGCTCAGTGCCTTCTCTCCTCTGTGTAAGCTCTTCATGGGGATCATCGCCTGTGTCTGACGTCTTTCCTGAAGGGACCCTGCTCGCGAGTGTGCCCTGAACATCAAGGGCTGGAATCCTGGACCCATGTCATCATCATCTAAGGAGACACGATGACAAGAAAGGGGAGAAAACTTGACATCAGAGTTAAGACTTCATGCCCAGGGGGCAAGAATGCTCAAGACTGCAGCTCCTGCTCTCAGCTTTATGGCCATGGCGACTTTCCCTTTCAACGCCACAGCCCCAGCGGACCAGGAGGGCAGTGCTATATGCGTCCTGTTAATTACTAAATAAGTGGGGATGCATGGAAACCTGTGCATCTAGCCAGTCTCCCTAGATGAGTAGCAGAGTACCTTTTCACAATAGTGGATTAATAATAACATCAGGCATATACTAAAAAAAAAAAAAAAAGTCTTCTAAAAGGTAAATGCTATACTAAAAGTTCCATTAAAAATAGTTGGTTTTCACCCTGTTTGTTTCTGTTTTGTTGAGACAAGGTCTCATCCTGTCGTGCAGGATGGCCTTGTGTTATCTTCCAAAGTGTCGAGATTACAGGGGTGAGCCCCATGCCTGGCTCTTGGGTTGATGCTTCATGGGTAGCTGTCTAAAAGCTCTTCTACTGAGTTTCACGGCTTTGACCTTGGAAATGTAACCTTGAAGACAACAGAGATGAGGGGGGCAGAGATCCACATTGACAGATGCTCCTCTGTCAATGGAGTAGATGATGAGCAGACAGCAGTGGTACACGATGGCGTACGTAATGAGGCTGAGAGTCTGCCCTCATGGGGGAGGGACCATGTGCCTGCCTCTGTCCTACTCATTTTGCACATTTTATGCCACTTAATCAACTTAATGGCCCTGTGAGATGTGTAAAACTATCGTCCTCACATCATATGGAAAGTGCCTAGAGTTGCTCTTCAGGATGAGGAGACTTTCAACATGATATTGCTGGTAAAAGTGGGATTGGAACCATTCTTCTGTATCCTCAGAAGATATACTAAAATTCACACATCCTCCCGTCTCTCATAGAAAATGGCACAGTATTTGCATATAACCTATGCACATCCTACAGTTTAATTTAAATAATCTCTAAACTACTTATAATACAGAATACATTGTAAATGCTACACACAAATAGTTGTTATATTGTGTTTTAGGGGGAATGGGGTGAGAAAAAAAGTCAACTTAGATGCAGAAGACAACTGTACATATCACATGTATGTTGCTAAGGCTGTGTTATGGGGGACAGGACCACCTGGTATCCATGTGATGCCCTGCTTTTGAGTTAATTTCAAATTTCCTTTCTACTCCTAAAACACAGTGCCCTTTCCTCTACTTCAACAAAGGACTTTTTTTTTTTCATAAATGTCATTTAATGTTTCCTCCAAGTTTTAGACTGGTGAATTTATTTTCCCTTACATCTTCTCCTCAGGATTTTAATATTTTCAGGTATTTATTTATAAACCTGAAAATGGTTCTTTCTCCCACATTCTATTCTCCCCTAAAAAAAGAAAAAAGAAAACAGAGCCAAAAGAAACCACATAAAATTAATACTGTATGCCCAAAGGTTTGTACTTGATAAAAATGTGCATATATTACTAGACACAAGAAAATGGTAAATACCCTGCTCAAAAATGTTTTGTCAAAATGCAGCCAAATCATCATAGGCAGGTAGCTGGGGGCTAACATAGGGGGTGCTCTGCTGGAGGTAAAGATGATAGCATAATCCATTTTCTTTCACAATCACCATTTATTTATTTATTTAATTTATTTATTTATTTATTCTTGGTTTTTTGAGGCAGGGTTTCTCTGTGCAGCTTTGCGCCTGTCCTGGAACTCACTTGGTAGTCCAGGCTGGCCGCGAACTCACAGAGATCCACCTGGCTCTGCCTCCCGAGTGCTGGAATTAAAGGTGTGCGCCACCACCGCCCGGCACAATTACCATTTAATTTGTGTTGAGTGGAGCTTGAACCTCAGTTCCTCCAGATCCTTTGGCATTTGGGAGACCCTCTGAGGTCTGGACACTTCCTTCTGTCTACAAGTCCTGTCCCTGTCTCATTCTTCCCACTCCTTCTGACTATTGGAACTCCCCATGAGTGGACAGTGTAGCCAGTCTCTCTACCTCCTTTTAGGTCAATGCAAAATGAAGCCACGAACATTTAGAAGAGGCTCCACCTGCAAAGTGGAGCTCAAGGTAAGTGACTAGTTCTGCCCAGAATGGGAAAGAACTTTCTGTAATGTAGAAGGTGAAATGAGAAAGGATGGGGACTGTCCTTGGTCCTCCTTCACGTGTCTACCTGCAGGGGAGCACCCAGTCCTGTCATCCGCGGGAAGAACAGTGGCTACCTCTCAAGCAACATGGGAATGTTGACCTTCCACCAGACTAACAGGCTTAACTATCAAAGCTAAAGGAGACAACAAAGTGCTTCTGCTTGGGACAGGGTGGAGCCAAACCCACAGGGGATTAGCTGCACCATACAATGTGCATTGTCTAGTGACTCAGACCCAGAGAGCAGTACTTCCTTATCTCAGCATTTTCAAAGATGGAGAGGTTTATTCATATATTTTAAAAAATATATTTTATATATATTCTATATATATAAATGAAATGTATATCTATATCTATATATATAAACATTTCAGCCATTTCAAAGTACAGTTCAATGGCACTAAGAGCTCTCCTGCTTCTGTATAATTCTCACCACCACCAATCTCTAATTCCATAGGTTTAGAGCTGTCTCACACATAAAAGGTGTTTTAGGATGGGGATCCCCGTAATTGTAATAAAACATGAACCTAAAGGTATAGGAGCCCTAAAAGAATATGCAGGTCTCTAAAATCATCATGGAATTCACAGACATCCTTGTCAGGGGCAAGCAAGCTTTGGTGGGTCTGCATGGAGCTAGGCAGGAAAGTGTTTTCAAGGACTCACATTGGTTGGCCAGACTACCTGGTTGAGGAAACCATGCCGCCTAAGGTTCCTGGCCAGAATATCCCTCTTCTCTTGGTATTTGGACAGAAGGTGCTCTCAAATAATCAAACTGTTAGCCACACATTGAGGACTCTCTTCATTTCATTGTGATTGTTTCCATAATCTTTGTGGGGGGGGGTTCTTTTTTGTTAATTGTTGTTACATATATATTGCTAAATATATAAATACAACCTGCTCAGTCTGGTTAATCTTACCTGAACGTATATGTTTTCAGAGCTGATCATTTGGCAGTGGATAATTAATTGGTGTGCTGTTCCCTAGTGTGTCTACTGATGTCATCCTGTTCACATCCTGGCTAGGCAGCTATGTGAGTGAGACATCATGAGTGAGACTTCCTGAGTGTTGCTTCCAACATTTACCACAATCTTCTAAAATTTAAGGGTAACTGGTAAGTTAAATTTCATTACCTTCTTCTCTGGTTCAACCACTTCCATCTGAATGAAGTTTAGAACCTACTTGACACATTAGAAAGAAAAAAAAACCAAGCAAACCAACATCCTCAGAGATTAAGATCTTACTCCAACTCTGGATTAATTCATGAGAAGTTAGTATTTTGGAGAGTTCTTGTCTTTCCCAGAAACATGAGTATCACTCATGTAAAATCTTCCTCCCTCACCAGTAACATCCTTGGCTAGTATTTCCTACATGCATAGTTGGCTACAAGCCTCTTCTAACAGCCTTATGGTCCATGCTCAGGTGTGTACCCTGTGTCTCTGTGGCCAGCTTCATTTCTAGGCAATGATGTCCTAGATGAAAGCTACCAATATTATTCCTTTATAGAGGTAACAGCAGTGAAGCTATAATGTTTACGTTTTTCTTCCTGTATGTTCTTGCTGTAATCTGTCCCCACAATAAACTTCTGTTGAGCAATAAATATTGAATGTAATGAAGTTGGAAGCTATTTAGGAGGATTTGTTCTCAGAACATTGATTACTGCTCTCTAAACAGGTTGTTATTACATAGGAGAGCTCCCTGCCTTCTCTTCCATGGACCTGCCCAGCTTTCTCATAGGCTGCTACTGTGTGATGTCATCAGTCATGGTATGACATTTCATGAACACCTCACATGATGTGTGGAATCCACCTTGAACTCCTCAGCCTCTAGAACCATGAGTCAAATAAACACTTCCTCTTTATAAATTGCTTGGTCTTAGGTGTTCTGTTTAGCAACAATGACAAAAACATGCTAAGTGAGCAATGCATAAAATTTGTAGGCATTGATGGCTTTTACTGAAAATATGCTTGAGATGCTATTTGTTAATGGAACCTATTAAAGGGTTAGGGACAGCTAAACTCATGAATTCACTGAAGCTGAGGTTGCATGCACAAGATCAAGCCAATCAGCATTCTGGTATAGAATGGGGAGGAGTTCATGAGCCCCCACCCCAGCTGGGGAGCTATAGACAGTTAATGGCCTCTGGGGGAGGAAGACTCAATTTTCTTTAAGATGTGGCTCCACTTAAGGCAACTGTACTCCAGTGGATGGCCTTACCCCCAGGAATATATGGACATCACAAATTGGAGTTGATCAATTACTTTAAAAAAAAAGTCATGAAATTGGGGAGTAGATGGTGGTAAGAGGCAGGGTGTCTGTACAAACTTATAGGAAGGAGTAGGGGAAATATGGTCAAAGTATATTGTATGAAATTTATAAAGAATTAATAAAATATTGTAATAAAATAAATGTCAGAGTCCTTTTGCCAATTAAATCTGATGAATACATAAATACATTTCCAAATGCTCAACAACTCCTACCTTCTGGAATAAAGCACACTTTGCAAGGATTGCTATCTGGAGTGACTACTTAGCTGTTTGATGTAATGCTAATTTACATTTGGACATCTGTTCCCCAGAAACCTGCTCTGCTGCCACCCCTGTCAGAATCCTGCAGTACTGATGACCACCCCAGAAGAGAGCTGTGGCACTTTCTTGTTTTCTACCCACTTAAATGATGAGATTTCACTTGAGTTCTTAGAATAAGAAAGATATTTTAAAATCAATCTGTAAAATGATGAGACTGAACTTGAGATACTAGAATAAGAAAGATATCTCAAAACTAATCTGTTGCGTGTCCCATGTCTGTGTATCCTCTTTTTAATTGTCTTCACTTTTGTTTGTGAAACGCCTTCATCATATCAAATGACACTAATTACTAAAATGTCATCAGGAACAGACAACAAGATTAATGAAACAAAATTACTAGTCCAAAGCCCTCTTCAGAAGGAAGAAATTTAGTATAATGGTGACATTTCATTTTACAGAAGATTTTGTCGGGAGGAACATGGTCCTAGCAAGCAATCGGAAGGGTACACCTGACTTACTCCATATACAAAGAAAAGGCTCAAGATGGGTTGAAATATATAAATAAACTATGATTTACTCTATGCAATTGACTAGTATTTTATAATTAAAAATGAGAACTAAATTCCTGTGTGTTGAGATGAGAAATCTGTCTACTCTAGGACACTGTCAAATGAACTAGGAAATTTAAGGGGGAAAAAAGACAAAGCAATGGCCAATGTTTGATTTTTATGTCTAAGATGGTAGGATGGTTCTGTGATTACATGGTTCTCTGTATAGGATATCGGCTCTGGGAAGGTCAGGATAACAGAGAGACCCACAGAAGGGTGCTAACTAGAATGTTCTGTAGTGATTACACTTGAGTTTTTAAAAGTCTGTGTAACTCCCTTCCTTGTGTTTGTCCAGTGACGGAGTTGGATTTGACATGAAGCCACTTTAAACAAGAAAAACATAGCAAAAAACCCATTATTTCAAAGATTAGTTATATTGCCTGTAACAAATAATTATTTTAAGATCCTGTGCCTTTAGTTTATTTGAACTTCCAAAGTGATTTTGAAGGTTTAAGTAGCAAGTAGCATGGCACTTGATTATATTATATATTACCCTTTTCTAACAGAAATCATTTTATATAAGTATTTAAAACATATCAAATTGGCTTTTTCTTTCTTTCTTTTTTCTTTTTTTTTTTTTTGTTTTTGGTTTTTCGAGACAGGGTTTCTCTGTGTAGCCTTGTGCCTTTCCTGGAACTCGCTTTGGAGACTAGGCTGGCCTTGAACTCACAGAGATCCGCCTGCCTCTGCCTCCCGAGTGCTGGGATTAAAGGCGTACGCCACCACTGCCCAGCTGCAAATTGGCTTTTATTAGAATAACGTGCATTTTCAATACCTAAGAATCTCAGTTATGTGTTAGATGGGAAACGGCTAATCAGTAAGTATGACTAAATCACTCCAATAAAAGTTAACCTCATATTTAAATTGCATTGGACTCTTACAACTGCCCTGAAGTGCAGGGACTCCTGGATGGCAGTTGTAAGAGTCCTTTTACACATCTTTAAGACACCAGTGATGAGATCATGTGACCTACTAATTATCTATACACTTTAAATGGCTGGAAATTTAAAACAGGATAGTAGTGCATGACAAAATTGTGATAAAGTCAAATTTCTGTGCCCATAAATAAAATTCTGAAAATTTCATAAAGGACGCTATCATTTTCTTCTCATTCAAGTATCTACATAATAGTCTTGATTGTACCTCTTGGCCCTGGAGTCCCTAAACGTTCACCATCTGACCCTGCACAGGAGGAAACAGCCAAGCATGGGTTACCTGTGGATTCAGCAGCCCTTGCCTCTCGTCTTGCTGCCTGAGGATTGCTGTAGGGGAAGGAGAGGTAGCGGAAGTTCTTGGTGCCTGCCTGTGGGTAACAAGAAGAAACAAAAGCAGAATGAGCTACTGCAGTTTCTATTGGCCAACAGATGATGAAGGGAAGGATGCAGCCCTGGGCTGGGCAATTCACTGACATTTAATTACTTTTGTTGAAAGATATTGTTCTGAGCTCAATATCTACAATATCTGCTCTCTCTCTCTCTCTCTCTCTCTCTCTCTCTCTCTCTCTCTCTCTCTCTCTCTCTCTCTCTGAAAGAACCCTTTTGAATCTTCCAAAGTTACTCTCATAGCCTCCAACAGGATTAGAATCAGAGTCTTTTCTACACTCAGTGTCCATCCAGGAGTCCCTACATGATGAGCACTATATAGCCTTAACTAGTAAGATGTCAGGGGCTCACTGGTCATGTGACAAGGAGGGTTGAGAGACGAGGCAAAAGTAAATCCTTCTAGTCAACATCCTGAGAGGCCTAGAAACTTTGGTCTGAGGAGGAGTTCTGAGATGCTCAGTACTTGGCCACCATGGGTTCTGGATATAGACTCAGCTCAGGGATCACTCAATGTCACCTTGGAAAGCATCTCACTGCTGTACTTAATTCACAGATGTCGGAGGCCCTGGAGTCCTGGATCCAGAGAGGAGGCTACTTCATTCACAGATGCTCGAGACCCTGGGAGTCTCAGATTGGGGGTGGGGGGCTGTTTTGGTATGTTGCCCTCTATGGCTTTTTCATCTCTCTGGCATCATATGAGGTTTTTAGTATGTAGAAAGTGTTAATAGTGATTTACCCTCAGCTAATGAGGCTCTGCCCCAAGGACGGTCCCAGTTATTAGCTGACAGCCCCCACATACCGGCTTTCCCCAGGGCAGACTCTGGCCTTTCCGCATGCTCTCCCTCAGCGTGTTCTGACGGCGGATCAGAATCTCCTTGGCCTGCTTCTCACTTGTTCGGGGTTTGAGGTTGTATTTGTTGTAGGACAGGGTCTGTAGGAAGAGCATAAAAATAGACAGGTATGAAATTCAGGGCTACCAGGAGCCCCAGCAGCATCCGGAGACTGCTAGAGTGGGTAGACACAGCGCCCGCGCTCAGCTTTGCCTCTAGCATGACTGAGAAAGCCTCCGTGGGAGGAAAGCCTGCAAGCAGACTCTCAGGCCTGGCTGTGGCTGTGAACAGTGCCTTCAGTAATCCCTGCAGCAGCCCTACCACCACCTCTACCCACCCCCACAGGAGTCACCCACAGACTGTGGCTGCCCTGCACACATATATTCTTTCCTGGGTCATTTTTAGATGCTAAGGCCTTCAGAGTTATTGGGTAAGAAAAATATTAAAATTAAATTTCGGGATTTCCACATTTCTGATTTTCAATAAAAGACATTTCCCTACACACACACACACACACACACACACACACACACACACACACACACACACACATTTAAACTGTCCCTATCATGAGTCTCATCAATTCAGAAAGGAAGAGGCTTCACTTAAAGAGCAGAGCCAAGGAAGGACTATCTTGACAAACTGGACCCACTGAGCTTTAAAGTACTTTTCTTCCTTGCCTTGACCTCAAACCGGTAGAAATCTGTCATTGACCGCAGGCCAACATCTATTCATAAACGTGTGTCTGAAAGATGCTTAAGTGGAGCTTCTTGTCCCCACAGCTGCTCACTGCAAGTTCAGTGAATGCCAAATTGCCTACAGTCGGTAGGTGACACACTGTGTGTGCGGATACACTGCAAAGCAATGTGGGGTAAGACGGTCGCGGCTGCCTGTACCATCCTTACTGGATTGTGGCTTCTTCAAAAAGGATAATCAATTCAATAACAAAAAAAATGAATATTCTACTAGGTGCTGTAGCAAGCATGGGATTAAAAATAAATAATGTCAATTCAGGTCTTCTAAACGCCTACAGCCATCTGGGAGAGTCAAGTTAACAAAGATTTTTGGCTTGTACATTCAGGTGAGACAAAATGTTAGGATCATCTGGGAGGTGTGGAGTAGGGCACGTACCCAGGCTTGGATGGAGCAGGCTTACTGCACTGAGTGGAGCCTGCAGCACCTGATGGGTACTCTCCTGGGAGAAGTGCAGATGGAAGGGGTGTGAGAACTAAGGTCGGAATGACTAACCAACTTGAAGGGACAGTAGGGAGGACCACGGGGAAAAATCCACCAGTGAGTTTCTTATTGTGTGACGGAAACGCAGCCTTCAAAGCCAGTGAGCATGAGCAAAGAGAGCTGATGACAGACCACACCCACTTTCCAGGAGTGAAGACCCTGTCTTCCAGCCAGATGTCTGCTAGGGAAACATACTTTCAGGTACCATGAGATGATTCCTAAGGATAAGAAGTGAAAATAGGCATACATACTTCCATTCTATTGTTTCTTATCAAACACTGCAGAAGAAATTAGTTTTATGGTATATAGCATATGGGTTCGTAATGAGCCAGGTTCATACCCACCTAGAGGTGAGATAGTCAGTTTCCTGCCTGAATAGAGAGGGTATTCCTAAAAGAGAGCTATGACTTTGTGTGTTTCAATGGATTTCACTTTACTGTGCTCTACTGGACACCCAGGTCACAGAGAGGTGGTTTTCACTATCTATTTATTAATGAACTCAATCTTCCTAAAGCCAAGAGTTACCAAGAAGGAGTTCTCCAGGCCAAGGAAGAATTAGGCAGCACATGACTCTGCTCTACCTAGCGGCTCCTTATCCACTGCTTTGGACAAGCTCTGATAATTTGGGGGGAAAAGAACTATAGATACAGTTCGATGTAAGGTTCTTGCCCATCTTATATGAAGACGAGTCTAACCTAAGTACATTTAATATGTTTGTTTATATCTTCTTACACCATTGCCTAGGAGGCTTTAAGTCACATTTGGACATCCAGGCTTCTATTTTCTCTGATAAACCATTGTCCATGTCGATTTGGCCTTCCGCACAGGAGACAGCACAATCCTACAAGGCAAGTTCAGGAGTTTCTACACATACAATGTCCTATGCTAGTGTCTTCTCTCTCTTTCTTCCTTTTCCATCCTCTTGAGAAGGAATCAGTGTCTGGAGAAAGCCTGCTTATTCTCACTAAACCTTGAGTTCTGCTGGAGAAAGAAGGCTTCACAATGTTCCTAGACCTTGCACATACTTGATTTATGTACATCATTAGCAGCACAGAACAGAGTTAGAATACACTGCTCTCTTCCTTTGGAAGTACTTAGAAACATTGAGAGTAATAGAGCCTTGACTGAAGTTTATTTTCTGATAAGCTTGGGATGTGCCTCATGTCTCCATCCCACTGTGTTGTATAGAGTTTTCTCTGCGTTTTGGGCACTGGAAACCTCCAGAAGCTAGTCCTTCACCTCCCTAACCATGTAGAGTCTATCCTGAACATGCTAAGAGGAAGTATTTCAAAAAGATGTGTCCAGAGTCCCAGTGGACCAGCTCAGTTTCATATCAACTGTAACTTAGGACCATCCAGAATCTGACCCTATACTCTGCCTGGCCCTGCCCCAAAGTGATTGCTAAGTCCCAAGACAGACTCTTCTAGAATATACAGTGATAAATATCTCCAACCATCAGTCCTACACCTCTTGTCCAGACTTGAGGACAACAGATGGCTTCTATATAAGCTTTGTATCAATCCTTCAAACGGTAGACTGTCCACTCTAAGCAGTTGATGTCCAATTGTTCAGGGTGGTATTTCCAGGAGTGATTTTCCTTTGAAAGAGTAATAGAAGACTTTTTTAACCATAGAAATACTAGAGGTGGTGGAAAAACTGGTGGTTTTTGTTTGTTTTTTGGTTTTTTTGTTTGTTTGTTTTGTTAACTTGATACAAATTGGAGACATCTGGAAAGAGGAAATCTTAGATGAGGGATTGCATTTATCATATTGCCTGGTATCAAGTGTTTGTGGGCATTTTCTTGATTAATGATTGATGTGGGAGGAGCCCAGCCCCCTGTGGGTGGGGCCATCCCTGAACAGGTGCTCCTGGGTGGTATAAGAAAGCAAGCCACAGAAGCCAGGGGAATGAGCCCAGAAGCAGGGCCCCTCCATGGTTCCTGCCTCTGCTTCTCTTTTAGTTCTTGCCCTGACATCCCTCAGTGATGGACTGTGATTGGGAAGAGTAAGACAAACAACCCCCGTCCCTCCGAGTTGCTTTTGGTCGTGGTGTTTATCAGACTAGAATACTAGGGAATGGGGACTGGTAAGTTGTATTTTCAATGAACTACAAGTGGAGGCAAAAAAATGTCCCTGCAGCCTATCACTGCACTCAGTTCATTGATCCTATCCTGATTTGGTCCCACTTGACGCTTAGCAAAAAATCCTTTAAAGAAAAATGGCCAACATACAACATACTCAAATGTGGGGAAAAAAAAGGAAGGAAGAGAGATGCTGCATAGTTCAGAAAAGAGAATGCTGGAGACCAGATGAAACAACAAAGTGCCTATCTGGGTGTCTACATCTGGGGAATAAAAGAGAATGGAGAATGTGGGCAATGGACCATTTCAGAATGTATTGGAGTTTCAGGAATCCAACCTCCTTCCCTGTATCAATAAGATGGGAAAACATTGAGTACCAGGTACTCAATGGGCCTGGCTCTCCCTAAACTAGCCACTCTTCCACCAGGAAGTTCTTATCTACTTAGTGAAGGTGAAATGTGATCGTCTTACTGGAATAGTTTCACTTGGAATGATTTGAAAGTCATGAAAGTTACCCTAAGAACACTATCACAGAGCTGAGCTATATGCCTTCAGCCTTTTCTTTTTCTGACATAAGCTCCTTAATCATCGACCTTTCTGACCCAGAACTGCAGAGGAGACTGCTGCCTTCACTGGCTGCTTAAGTCTGGAGTCTTCGAACACTGGATCGGTGTTCAGCAGAGAACTCTTAACTTACATTTACTTTATGACCTTGAATAAATCCAACCTTCAAGTTTGCTAACGCCAACAGCTACTAGAAAATGAAGAGCTTTGACTAGATGGTTTCTTGATCCCATCAAAAGCATAATCTATGTCATTACCCAAAACAAATATTCTCACGAGAGACATACTTAATCATAGCCAAGAAATAGGACAGACAAACGAGTCATCAAACTTGAAAAAGCATCTGCAGGGATGACACTGATTTAACTGTCATTAGCTCAGAGTCTCTGAAGGACCCTTTATTAAAAACACTAATGAAGAAAGAGTCCAGACCAATTTCCAGACCAAGACGCCAGTATTTCTTTTTATTCTGGCTTTCAACATTGTAACTTCATGGTTCTAACCCAATGAGTGCTGTTTGTTGACTTTTATCATAGTTGACCCCAGTGGACAAACTGGAGGTCCATCAGCATCCTGGTGCCATGTTTTTCTTACACTACAGGAGGATGGCTGCATCTGTCTTTTTCTTTGAGGAGAGAGACCTGTGGGTTCTGAAAGCTTTGGCTACAGGGCTAGGGCAGCCTGACCCCTAGAGCCAGCAATTGGATTTGCATTTATTCTTAGGCCCCTGGTGCCAACCTGGCAGCTGACCACTAGCTTTCTGTCCCCCAAACCCAGCAGAGGGGCTACTTGAGAAGACACTGTGAGCAAGACCAGCCTCCTGAAGACCCAGTGGGAGCAGCGCAAGGCAGGGCAGGGCAGGGGGTAGCCCAGAGGGCTCGCACATACTCTTTGTCGAACTTGGTACATGTTTCTTGTCAGAATGTCCCGCATGGACTCCACATCTTCAGGGGAAAGCCGTTTGGTTCCCTGTATCCTCTCAGGCCTGGAAACATCATTGGAGAAAAGCCATTATTTTTGTATTTGGGCAAGAAGTGGGGCTTTGCCCTGTCCTGTCCTGGAGGAATTCCTAAATTCCGGGATCAGATTTGTACATGCTCATTCCTGCCATCTTAGCAAATCAATTTCAGGTCCAAACATATGTTTTGATTTAAAGATTCAAAAACATTTTCTCCCTTACAGTTTCCACATGGTTATTATTGTAACCCATTTTTAAAGGGGAGGGGGGTCATGAGCACCAACTAATTTATAAAATACAATAAAAGACTATTATTTGGAAAAGATGCCATAAAATAAAATCCCAAGATTTAACTGTTAAATTTTATAGAAATAAAAACACTCAATCAATGTTTCAGAATTTTTTGTTAGTTCTGTGCTCACTGTCACGTGGATGGACAACAAACCATTCAGAGTCCAGCACCATCCACACCACTCCATTTTGATCCTCACTGGCATGTTGAGTTATTGAAGCTACAGGATCAAAGAAAGCTTTCTGGGAATTGTGCAGTTAGAGGTCTGCGAGGGTGAGTTTTAATTGTCAGCTTGAAATGACCTAGAATCCCCCGAGAAGAGGGTGTTAATGAGGGATCACCTAGATCAGGTTGGCCTGTAGACAAATCCCTGGAAAATTGTCTTGACTGCCTTAATTGCTGTAGGAGGACCCAGACTGAATGAGGAAGCCCCGTTGCCTGGCTTGGGGTCCTGGACTGTGTAGGAGCAGACAAAGGTGGTTGAGCACTGGGCATGCTTGCATTCCTTCTCTCTCTGCTGATTTGACTGTGGTGTCACTAGTTAATTTAGGTTCCTGCCTTGACTTCCCCACAATGATGGACTATAATCTGGAACTGTGAGTTAAGATAGCACCCTCTCCCTACATTGCTTTGAATCAGGGTATTTTTTTTTTTTTAAATCACAGCAATGGTAACCAAACTAAGACAGGGCCTTATTTATGGTTGAGGAATAACTAGAAATGGGAATCACATTTTCTAAACAGAATTAAACTATCTGTACCATGGAGGTCAACCCAGATGAGGCACTGGGCACCCAAAGAGCTTAAAACTTAGCCTTAGGGCCAGGTTAGCAATCAATGCTCAATTGTCCCCTAGGATTTCAAAGCGGAGACGTTGCTATGAAAAGAATTCTCATGTGACAGATGTATTTGATTGCAATCTAGTAGCAGTAATTGAGAAAACCTTTTTATTACACTGGAAATTTACATTTACTCTAGAACATGGGTATAAAAAAGGAACTGAAAGCTCAACCTTCCTTTCAATATAGCCACCTTCCTAACACCATGCTATAGCCCATCGGGCTGCCTGTTTCTTGGAAGCATATCAATATCTCCTTTCCCATGTTGTCAGGATGCTGGGTCACAGGGATAAATCAATAAATTCAATACAAGCTACATGTAAAATACTGTCCCCAAAACCTTACAGCCATTTAACGATAAAGTTGTTTGGATGTAATGTGCAATTGATAAAATAAAGAGCCTTTATATGAGGTATCATGGTATGCAAGGGCTTTAGTTAGCCATTGTTATCTGCAGAATGACCCACGCCTTTCTACATAATGATCGAAATCAGAGTTTTTCTGTCTTAAGTTGCAAATGTTACTTGTACTAATATTTGGATGCCACCCTCGATGATCTAAACTATATAAATGTAATTGTACTAATGTCCTCCAAATGGAATTTATTCTTATTTAGGTACACCTGCTCACACAATCTGAACGCATTCCGTCATTGTGTGTGTGTGTACATGTGTGTGTAAGTGTGTGTAATGGATTACTAAACAGAAACACCAGCTAGTCAAACATTTCTATGTTCTACACTCATATAAAACAAATAGGAAAAAAACCACTGATAAAGGAAATGGCAGGTGAAACTTGATACAGCAGCAGATCGGGCTTGGCATTCTCCCCAGTGTGTAATTGACCACTCCAGGAAGGACCAGGCTTAATTAAAGCCCTCTTGGGTTACTGGCTAGAGTGAGGAACACAGGACTCTCAAAGCTGTGCTTCTCCCTGACTCACACCAAGAAGTGGCAGCTATAATTATATATAAACAAAAGCGCTGGGTAGCCTGAACCAGGAGGTGCCTGGAATTGGCTTCATGTCACCTCATGAACACAGACATCCCTGGAATACTTACATCACAGGTGCAAGAAAGACACACTCCTTAGAAGACAGTGTTACTGGGGATCTTTAGGACCAGTAATTCAGAGGGTAAACTGCACAGCTCTTGTCTCTGGAGCATTCATTTATTACAGGTAAAGGGAATCTCTAGTGCTAATATAAACCAGGAAAATCTAATTCCAATTGCATCTGAATACAATGTTTACATTTCTCATAAATTCTCTCCTGCTTCCATCCTTCTTTCCTTTCTTTCATGAGATGCTATACTAATGTAAAGAAACTTTAATTGAATTACAAAACCTAATAAACACTATATTCACACCACAGTAAGAATACCCAAAGAAAAACTACTGTGCCCTAATTCTTTGAGAATACATCTTTCAATATCCTAGTCATGAAGTATTCCTCATCAGTTACTCCGTCTGCATGGCTACATGTAGTACTCTTCATCAGTTACTCCATCTGCATGGCTGCATGCAGTATTCATCATCAGTTACTCCATTTGCATGGTTGTATGCAGTACTCTTCATCAGTTACTCCATTTGCATGGCTGCATGCAGTATTCCTCATCAGTTACTCCATCTGCATGGCTGCATGCAGTATTCCTCATCAGTTACTCTGTCTGCATGTCTGTATGCAGTATTCCTCATCAGTTACTCCATCTGCATGGCTGCATGCAGTATTCCTCGTCAGTTATTCCATCTGCATGGCAGCATGCAGTATTCCTCATTAGTTACTCTATCTGCATGGCTGCATGCAGTTTTCATCATCAGTTACTCCATCTGCATGGCTACATACAATATTCCTCATTAGTTACTCTATCTGCATGGCTGGCTGTCTTGCATCTTTTTCAAAGGCCACTGCAATGTTCATATCTAACATGAGTGAAGTGTGGTTTACAGGACACACACATTCAGTCACAGAATTTACAAAAGAAACTACATCCCATAGTTTCTTGTCAGAATACAAATACAAGAATGTAACCCCATTAATGTGAAATTGATTAAAAATTCTTAAACTACAATGAATTTCCCTAATTATCAAAAAAAAACAAAACAAACAAACAAACAAGGGGCTGGAGAGGGGACTTGGTAGTAGAGAACATTACTACTTTTTCAGGAGACCTGAGTACAGTTCCCAGCACTCACATCAGCACCAAGGAGATCAAATGCCTCTAATCTTGATGGGCACCTGCACTCAGGTACACCTGACCACATACAGACACTCACGCAGACACACAATTTAAAAAGAAAACGAAAAGAATATGACATGCTCAAACTCCTGAGAGTTTAGAAATAAAATGATTTAAGATTACAAAATTGTGGTAGTTATCCAATAATTTCATAGCTATTTTAATACCTATAATATTAATATCTATAAAATTATATATAAGGTTTGGTGTAGCTCAGGCTGGCTTTGAACTTATTCTCTTCCTACTTCCACTTTCCAAGCTCTAAGATTCTAGGCTCCATCACCATACTCAATTTATGCTGGGAATAAACTCAGGGCCTCATGAGTGCCAGGCAGGTACTCCAACAACTGAGCTATATCCTCAGCCCTAATCCACTTGTAAGAAGAACACTGTGTTACATTTACTTGCCTCCTGTGTATGTGCAGATGTATGTGTATGTGCAGATGTGCAACAGTGCCCATTCAAGGTGAGGGGACAATTTGTTAAGAGTTGGCTCTCTCCTCTCACCATGTGGGTCCAGAGGATCAAACCCAAGCTGTCAGGCTTGGCAGTAGGTGCCTTCATCCCCAGAGCCATCACACAAGCCCACAAGCTTCATTTCAACACTTATCAGAGTCAGTATCTGTTTACAATGTCTCACAGACTACCAGTCCTGTGCGAGAGAGGAACCTCTCTACATTTGAAATAACAGTAGAAATGCGTATCCCAGCTCTCCCATAGGATGGTCTGGGGATTCAAATAGGTGCTACTAGGAAATATTATGCCATGAGGAAAGCAGTGGGATCCCACAGTTCCAGTGTCCTCCCAGCTGTACCAGAGTCAGCCCTGGCAGTAACCTTCTCCTAAAGGTCCAAGAATTTGGAAATTAAACTGTTGTATAACACTTGCCTAAAGTCGTAAAGCAGAACTATATGTGCATTTGGCTGTTATCGTCTCATACTGAATGCTAAGAGGCACCTGAGTACACAGTTCTTTTTCCTATTATTGTATGAAGGTTTGGTTTGCATTTTGTTTTGTTTTGTTTTAAAAACTGGCTGCTTTGATCTTAGGAGAGGAATTCCTTTTGTCTTGGTGTCCTACAGATTTCCAGCAAGATCAAATAAATGTTAAGTTAAATACTAAAAAATGTATTAAACATCAGCTTTAACAAAAATCTTTCTCACTCCAGTTAACTTACTTGACAGGGCTATATGAGGTGGAAAAACCCCTTACCTGTAAGTCTCTTAAGAATCTTGGATCAATGTCTGAAGAAATGATTGACTCAAAGTGAACAGGGAAGTGCGCCAAATAAAACTGGTTTAAAAATTGCCTTGTGGTCAGATTTGAAGCAGTTGCTTATGGCTAATAATACATTGTGATGTTATACAGAAGTTCAAAATACGTTTTAGACCAATAGACTGAAACATAGATGAGATTCTAGCCTGAGATAAGAGATAAACAGCCTCACATTCCTAGACCAAGTGCTCACCTAAGTATCAAGCAAACTGACGGAGGCAGTTTCTGTCTGCAACTGTCCAGCCCTCCTCTATCTCTGCATTAACTGCAGTTCATCCTTTGATGAGCAGGCCACACAGCAGGAGGTCCCATGTGACACACTGCTCCTATAGTCACATTGATTCCTATTCTTTATTATACTGCACTGTGTGATCTCTTATATTAATGGGATGCCTTGTCCATGTTTGGGGGCTGGAAGGGCAGCCCTTATGTCTGTCTTCACAGTGTGTTTAGCACACACACACTAGGTGCCCAAGCAAGCAGGACATGCGCTAAGGCACAAAGTGTAAGGGACAGCCAGAAACCTTGGACAAAAGCAAGATTTGCGTGCATTGTTTTAAAAAATGAAATGAAACACAAAGAGAGAAACTTTGATGGATAAAATGCTAACATGTTGAATGAAAACAGAATCAGCATTCCTGGTTTTTCCAGCCACCTCTGGCTCCACTGTGGCTCTGGACAGCATTGCCAATAAATATTTGATAGCACATTCCCATTTTAGCACCGGGCGTCTCCTTTTAGTTGCGTAATGGGCAGCGCAACACAGACAAACAGGCCACTGGAACAATCCCAGGGATAAACAAGGCACAAAGCTTTCTGTTTAGACTGGGTGACCTTAGGGACACCTGTTTACATCTTCCCCAGGTCATGGAAGAAGGTGCTGGTGTTTCTGATTCATTAGCAGGTCGAGGGTGGAAGGTGTCACCTGTGAAATAACACTCAGCCAGTTTGTGACAATTTTATTGGTATCTATTCTTAGCTCTGTTCTCAACTTACTTCCCTGATGTGAGGACATAATTGAAGCTCATGATCAAGTGTCATTATCTGAAGACGATGACAGTATGGAGAAGCTGGCATGTCCTTTCCCTAAATATATGCTGTGATTAATTTTTGCAACCTATAAGCCATCGCTTAGAAGAAAGCTGTGCATCTTTGGGAGTTAATTCTTGAAATACTGAAGGAGCTTCTGTAAAATGTCAGACAATTAAAATAGTTTTTAAAAAATATCTATCCAGCTCCGGGGACAATTGGTTACCAGATGGTGGAAGACACACACCAAATAAGGCCTCTCCTCCTGTCTTGCCTCCACACTGAATCTATATAGTCTTCTCTTCACCTAGAAGCCAGTCAGCATTTGGGTCCTGTTCTAAGCTGGTCTCAGGGATTTGAGATGCATCTCGCAATCTCATATACACTCTTTCTATTGCAAACATCTCTTTAAAGAGCCATAAGCTACCACACCCCTTCTTGCACCTCATCTCCTCCCTGCCTTGGTTTAGATGAAGTCCTTCTCAGAGACCCATGTGTAAGAGCTTGGTCTCCAGTGGCAGTCTTGGGAATTCTCTGTGGGCTTTTAAATGGTGTGTCCTAGTGAAAAGTTTTTAGGTCATTGGAAGTGTGATCTCAAAGGGGATTATAGGACGCATCTTAATCCTTCCTTTCTCTCCTTGATTAAGAATATGCACCCTCAGCCGGGCGGTGGTGGCGCACGCCTTTAATCCCAGCACTCGGGAGGCAGAGCCAGGCGGATCTCTGTGAGTTCGAGGCCAGCCTGGACTACCAAGTGAGTTCCAGGAAAGGCGCAAAGCTACACAGAGAAACCCTGTCTCGAAAAACCAAAAAAAAAAAAAAAAAAAAAAAAAAAAAAAAGAATATGCACCCTCACTAGGGTGCATGCCTCTCCCACTCTGTTGTTATCAAAGAACCATAGACTTGACCTTAGCCTTGAACCCCCAGAACTCTGAGCCCCACCTAACCTCCCTGCACTTTTGCAAGTAACCTGCTTCATATATTTCATTGTAGTGACAGAGGAGGCCCTCCCAAATCCAAGTTGGCCTCCCAGACACCTAATACCTCTCCCCATGGAAGACAGGAAGAGAAATACATTTTGCACAAAATGCAACAGTAGAAAGAACAGAACCAAGTGAACAGAGCTTGTAGGAAAGAAGTTTCTAACCAAGGAGAAAAACGTTATAAAATGTCCTGCCATTCTATGTCTTTGCTTGGAAGATGGCATATAACTTAAAGAAGGCAACTGAGTTAAAAAGCAATTCCCCCAAACTGGTGAAACATGTCAAGCTTGAAGCAAAGCTCAAAATGTCAAGAACTAGACAATATTATTCCACGATTCTCTCCTCAGAGCTAAAGCCCATGTTATAATAGTTTGGTTCTCAGAACACGGACTACTGAAAAATGGGGGACCTCTATGAGATGGTATCCAGTGGGGAGGGCTTCAGGCCTTTGGGGACTTGCTGTTGAGTGAGACATTGGAACGTCCAGCTTCTCCTCCTCCATGAGGTGAATGTTTTTCCATAATGGTGACCATAATATGCCACCTCACCTCAGGCCCCAAAAGCACCAACCAGTCATGGACTGAACCACCTGCCTCCTACTGTGAGCCCCAACAAACCTTTCCCCATCTTCAAGTGTTCGTTACAGTTCAGAATGTTAATTGCCACACTCATCTTTCTGCCTATTCCCTTCTGCTACTTCTTTCAAATGGAGCCATAACTTAGCCCTGAAATTCAGTTATTGAAAGTTTAGATCAACCTGTGGGTTGCAACCCCCTTGTGGGTCACATAGCAGATGTTTACATTATAACTCATAAGAGTAGCAAAATTACAGTTATGAAGTAGCAACAAAATAATTTTATGGTTGGGGGTCACCACAACAAGAGGTGTTATTAAAGGGTCTCCCCATTAGGAAGGTTGAGAACCACTGGTCTAGATCAAAAAGCAGATAGAACTCACTGATAGGGTGTGGGGAAAGCTGCTGAGGTCAGTATTCCGGTCTCTACCATCTCAATGGCCTGTTTCATCTCAAGCTTCTTATACAAAGAAACAATGCTTGATTTTGGCAGGTTCCTCCGGATTAGGATTTTCCGTAAGTATCTATGATCAAACTTCTTGAACCTAAACATTAAAACCAATATCTCCATCAGTATTGTTTAAATTTTTCTTTAAACAGATTACAACTGAACTCCATTCTGAAGAACATCAGGTGCCTAAATTCATCACATTTGAACACATTGGACAGAGAAACCCTGTCTCGAAAAATCAAAAAAAAAACCCATAGTATTTATGTTTTGTTTTGTTTTTAATAAGAAAGAATGGCCTAGTGGCTTGAATACAATGAAATTCAACTAAACAAAAAGAAAGAAAAAAAGGTGCAATCAGGGTAGAAAGTACATATAAGAGGAGGCCCCCTGGGGGCGGGTGGCTAGCCCTACTCAGCTGTAACTGTATGAACAGAATTGAAGTGGTTGAGGCTTTTGAACAAGCATTGTTTCCTAAAGGCTCCTAACAGCAGCTGCTTCACTTACAGTAATATAGGTCTATTCAGCCAGAACCCAGTAAGTTTAAATTGGCTGCCAGTTAGAGTAGTTTTGCCTCATTGTGTTGCAGATCACTTTGAATCTTGCCAACTAAGGAAAAGAACTATACTCCCTGCCCCCACCAAACACACCAACAATCTTAATAAAGGAGAGCTAGCTGACTACTGTTGCGAACATCTGGTCGACCCATTAGCCTAAGCTGCACACACGCAATGATGTCTTGGGAGCTTGTCTGGAGTCACAATTTTCAATGCTTCTAATCATTTCACATTCAAAGAGTGGTTTTCTGCCTGCTTTGTTTTTTGATAGGGAACATAACTTCCTGGAATGTTGGCTTATTGTCTAGTGTTTGTTTCCTTGAACGGTGAGGTTGACAGACACCATCAGTTAAGTCCTCTCAGTGTATGGCAGACTGACCTCCAGAGCTTTGTCATCTTTTTGGCTTTGATCCACCTGTTCTTTTCAAGTAGATCACTCCTTGACCTTTTGCCCTTTGTTATGAGATGCTGTGATTTCTCCTCAACTCATTGTAATCAGTTCCCCCCACAAACTGTCTTCACAATGCATTTGACATTTCAAGATGCTGAGACCATCTTGACCTTGTACTTGTCAACTCCTGTGGCTGCCATTGCCCTGACCCTGTTAGCCACTTAAGTCTCTTGATGTACCAGGTCATTGTTTCCAGGTTGGCTTTCTCCTGCCTCAATCCCTTCCTCTCTGGTCACCTATCTCTGTCTTCATCTGCTCTTCCATTTTCTCATCAGCTCCACTAGCTAGAGAGTTCTGAGTCCTGTGTTCAGTTTGTCTCCTCTTCACACCTTTGATAAAAATCTCACACATGCCCACCATGTAGCTGCTAACTACTTGATGATGCCTTACCATCTGTCTCCAGCCACATTCCTCCAGTTGAGATTAAAATAATCCATTCAGAAATGTGGGATGTGGTGAGCAAGAAGGCTCTGGGCTTCTCAGAAGAATTGCTGTATATGAATGACTCTTAGAGGTCTCCAACTGGGATTTCTCCAAGCCCTTAATGAGTCACTGAATGCCTCCACAACTTCATGAAGTTGATTATCACATGGTTGAGCTGTTGTCAGGAGGATGGGGGTGTTGTCTTTGTTTCCAACTTAAGTATGACTCTCTACTTTTCATTGACTACTTGTACTATTCCTCTTCAAAGCAACCTGCCCCACCTCCACAGCTCTCTCCTGACACCTCTCATCTTCCATGCTAGGCATGTTTCTTGTATAGTACAACTCTGGTCCTTCATCTTCCTGGCTCCCTATTCCTCAAGGAGCCATCCTCAAAGAGCCATTGTTAGGCAATGAAACCCTAACCTACTTACTTATCTCTCACTTGGTAGTGACTCCATTGCCCACACACATCTTCAATTCCAGCCTTTAGATGATCCATCAGCTGCCAAACCAAACATAAGAAGATGAAATGTTAGTAAAATATGAACTCTGAAAGGCACACACACATACAAACTATAGGCTTTGGAAACTAAGGAAGGCTTTAATTTACTGAAACATAACCTCTTTCCTAGCACTCTGGTCATGTCGCTAGAATATGACATGCTTTTCATAGTAATTCCTTCTCTTCATGATTAAAAGATTCTGAAGATAAACATCTTGATAATTTCCATAAAATAGAGTGAAAATAGTATAACTGGCACTTGGTTTGAATAATACTTTTCTAGGAAAATCTAGAAATTTCTCATTATTGAAATCATTTGGATGCAAAGTATAATGATTAGGTATTACTTTTACTTCATTGTGAAAAGAAAATCACATGTCTAATTTGCATAGTTTCCCAAATATAATTCTTCAGACGTTCTGCTATAATAATAAGCACACTTGTCCACATTCTTCATTTTTTCCACATGAGACAGGTAGTGAGGGAGGTAAAGGTATAAATACCCAATCTTTATACTTATAAACCAATATATGATCTTTTTTATTTTACAATTAAATCCTTTAGTCCAGGAACTTATAGTTCAACACACGTCAATTATACTATGTTTGCTCTGTTCACAATGATTTATAAGAATTTTGGAGGAGATATAATCTTAAAATCCTATGAATAGGTCTATAAATAATTCTAATTAAAAATTATGCATGTTTATGATGGCTTCTGTTTTATTTTGAAAAAAATTAAAAATGCAAAATTATTACTTAAACCCTTAATTGATCTACTGTCTTCTAATGATAGTCATAACGTTTATTTTTCAAGACAGAGTCTCTCTGTGTAGATCAGGCTGGCCTCAAACTCACAGAGATCCATCTGCCTCTGGTCCTCAAGTGTTAGATTAAAGACTTGAACCTCCAGAGTTGGCCTTAGTCATAACTTTGTAAGAAGGAAAAATAAATGAGGAAGAGGTGAAATACTGAATTTCCATCTAAAGAAGGTTGCTGATTTCTCTTAATAAGGTGATAAGGGTAAAGACAAAAATGTACAATCAGTTTAAGGTATTAACATAGTTTTTAACATTCTGTCTTCTAATCTGTTAAATATTCTCAAATAATTTTGCAATTTTTTATTTTGATTTCCTGGAATTTAAATGACTTTATTTCATCTAGTATCTATTTGTATGAAATTCAAGGCTAACATATGAAGATTTCATCCATCTCTACAGCATTAAAATGATCAGAAGTATGATTCCTTTGGTGTAAAAATAAAACAAACAAAAAGCTCTAGTCAAATTATCCTACTTAGCTTGAGTCTCTGGAGCAGCTATGATGACAGGGTTTCCCAGTCGTTGCTTGTACACAGCCATTTTGGTGAACACTTTGTGTGTGCTTGTATGATCATGCAGGTATGCATGGGTATGTACATGTGTGCATTGAGTGTGTGTGGGTATGTACATGAGCATGTACATGAGTATGTGTGTATGAGTTTGTGCATGGATGAGTGCATGGGTGTGTGCATGTTAGGGTGTGCCTGTATGTCTTTCACACACTAGTTCTTGTTTCTATTCAAGGGAGTCATTCTGAATGTCATAGTTTTGATACCATGCTGAACTCAAGCAGAGAAGTAGAAGCCATATTTTTATGAAACAATTACTTCAACAGCCATTAGGACCACACTGAATGTTAGTGTGACATCCTTCTGAGGTATTAACTTGATTAGGCAAATCTCCAGTTATCCAATCAAGTGATAATTTGTATGTTGCTATGATTGTATTCTGTGGATGCAGGTAGAGCTCACCATCAGTTGCTTTAAACAGGAGAAGGATCCTAGACAATCCAAGAGACCTGACTAGATCACCTGAAAGACCTTGAGATCAGAAGCATTTTAGGATTCTCTAGTTAAGGATGCCAGGTGTTGGGCTGGGGACACAGTTCAGTGACACAGTATTTGCCTACCACGTGCAGGACCCTAGCTTCCACTCTGTGACCACAACTATGTAGGAAGCCGATGAAGGCTGAAGAAGACAAAGAGATCCTTCCCTAGAGCCCCTGGAAGGGAACACTGCACTAAATTCCACTAGTGGGACCCATTTCCAAAGGTCTTCTCCATAACTCTAAGATAACACACTTGCTTTGTTAGAAGCCTCCACAGTTGTATTAACTCCCTGAAGCAGCAATAGCAAACAAGTCCATTCCTTTTTAGTGGAGCTGGAAGGAAAGGGTCTATGAGTCTCCTGACATGTACACAGTCTCCTGGAAGCTCTAGATGACTCTCAAAAGTGATACATGGGAAACATTTTATTCATTCATTAGAAAGGACAGGGTTAACTTACCCGGATGTGAAGCTCTTCATTGATGGATTCTTTTTTATTGGTCTTTCTGACATCCAGGTACCTGACCAGTGGGCCAATTGTGATTCCCTGGGTCATAAATAAAAAAACAGAGGGTTTTCCTGAGGTGAACACTGTTACTATAAAGAACCATTTTATCATCAAAACTATAAAATGCCCAATCTGTATGTGCTTGTTTCTATTTTCTATGGGATTAAATGCATTAAACTTATTTTAATTCTTAGTTCTTCTACACACATAAACAAAATATATGTTATAATCTATATTAATACAATATCTTGATGTCTTTGAAAATAAATCTTCATTGCCTCATTAAGACCTAACTTCCACTAAAACAAAACATTGCGTTAGCGAGTACCAGTTGCTGTCATATTTTCCAAGATAAACAGAGTAACAATTGTTCACACCTCACCTGGGAATATTTTGATCACTATGTTGGATTGACTCAAAGACAGTGTATTTCAGAAGTTAAAGCTTTACCATGAACGTGGCCTCTGAGTAAGTTAGAATCTATTTAGACTCTATTTTAGAGGATGAACCAGAATTCTAAAAACCAGATACAGCATCTTTATTTACATCTTACGAATTTAGTATGTAGCTGTGAAAGATGTACGTAATTTAAATATGAAAGAAGTCTACCAACCTGAAAAAATACAGTAAAGTATGTAACTACTAAAGTAGCAGTAATAAATAATTTCTTCCTAGGAAAAAGGGACAGAGGAAGCAAAAACGCAAGGGAAAAGCTCCCAGCGCCTCTCACGCCACTGTAGAAGATTATGAACTGGTCCTTGATGGAGAAGGGAAAAGTCCGAAACTGGTTACTGACATAGAAGAGAGTAAATACGCCTGGAAAGGGGGAGATACGTATTAGAGCAGGCAGCGGGACATTAGTGGTCACGACGCAGAGACTAAGCAAGGTAGCCCAATTCTATCACACCCAAGATCACTCATCTCAATCAGACCCTCTCTTAAGGCTTTGCATTTCTGGGATATTTTGGTTCCTCCAGTTAGAGGTTTTCCCAGCCCAAGCATTTTGTATGTGTGTATTGATTTAAAATAAATATGAGGTATATATTTCTAAACTGTATCCACATTTGTGGTGCCTTTCAAAACCAATTAAAGAAAGGATGTCTGTGGAGTATAAACCTCTTATCTCATGTTCTCAGGAGATACCTCCAGGAGGTCTGTAGTTTGAATGTGAGGGAGATCGGTGACTGTGGACAGTACATGATGGGCAGATCCATTCTGGCTGACCTGGTGCTTGAGATTCATATAAACAAACAAGAAAGTTTGCAAGGGTTTGGGGTTGGAGACGGGCGTGGGATACTTCTTACTGTCCTTCCGTGTAGTAATAAATGGAGGTTGGAAGGCAGGGAGCTTGTGCAAAGTACAGAAGTGTTTTTCACTATACAGATTCTCCATGGCTATTCGTTCCACATGAAAGCCACCACTGACATACTGGTTCTGGGCAAGAAAGGATCCTGTGCTAAAGCTTTCAGTGGACCTTCCAAAAGTGTCATCTCTTTACGTCCCCATGTGCTCCTATCCTCACATCTCACAGAAAGCATTTTTTTTTTGCTTTCGGGCATATTAGACTACAAGGGACAACAGAATTTATGGGGTTTTTGATGGGTGTATCTGAGCTTCTCTTTACCAGTTAGTCATGTAACCTTGGGAAAGGTTCCACGTCATCCCATATTATCAGATACCAGAGACAAGAGCACAGTCAGCCCTCAGTTTCCACAGGAGACAGGGCCCAGGACTCTCATAGAAATGCTCATGTCTATGAATGCCCAGGTCCCTTTCTATTGTATGAAGCATTTGGGTCTAGCCTCTACACATTCTTTTGAATACTTGAAGTTGTCTCTAGATTGCTTACAACATGGCTGCTGTGCTGTATTGTTTAGGAAATGATAACAAGAAATAAAGTCTGTACATGTGCAATGCAGATGTATTTCTTTCTGCAAAATTATTGATCTGTGATTGGTTGAAATCACACTTGCAGAGCCCACAGATACAGAAAACCAAATGTACTTACCTAAGTAGGGAGGTGAAAAGTTAAACAAACACTATTCTCATAAATAACAGAGAACATTGCCTCATATCCATAAGCCTTCATAGTCATTAGCTATGGTTAGAGACAATAAGTTGGAATGGACAGAGGAGGCAATGATCTGTATTCTCACACTGGCTCTCCCAGTCATGGTGACCTGCCCAAGCCAGCCACTCTCTCAACAGTGGTTCATTAATACTCTCAGTTAAAGGATTGTGTTATGGACTGGATGATCACTAAGGGTAACAGAACCCCTCTATCCAGATGGCTCATTTTCCTGTTTGCTTGGTTGAATCTTTCTCATTTCACTTCTCTTGACATTAGTACTGATTCCCTGTAGATCTGTTGATTATTATAACAGGAAGGGACTGATAATTTTTATCTAAACCTGTTATTTTTAGGCTGAGGAAGAAGACTTTAAAATAGATAAATGTCTGCCCAGCTCCAAATAGTGAGTCAGAAATCACACCAAAATTTGATGTGATATTTTCAGTTTGTATCACAACAGCTTTGATTTTTTTCCACCAAAAATTAGCATATATTCAGCTACTCTTCTTACTATTTTAATATTTCTATATTCTTGCCATTTAAAAAAATTAATATTTATTTTATTTTATATGTATAAGTGTTTTTCCTCCATATATTCGTGTGTGTGCAAAACACGTGTGCAGTGTCCACAGAGCACTGGATCCCCTGGCACTGGAGTTATAGATGGCTGTGAGCTATCATGTAGATGCTGGGACTCAAACCCGGGTCCTCTGGAAGAGCAGACAGTGCTCTTAATCATCCCAACCCTCTTGTCATTCATTTTTGCATCCTCAAAGCTATCATAAATTAATTTTAATACATATATATTAAAATTGGCTGAAAACAATTGGCCAAATTGGTTAAAATACAATTTCTAAAAGAATCTCTCTCTGTCTTTCTCTGTGTCTCTGTCTCTGTCTCTCTCTCTCTCTCTCTCTCTCTCACACACACACACACACACACACACACACACACACACATTTCTATGGGTTTGGTGGTAAACAACTTGCTTTAACTCCAAAACTCAACACATTATCGGTGGGTTAACCTCCATGAGTTTGAAGTCAACCTGATTCATATAATGAGTTTCAGGCTAGCCCGGGCTACACAGTAAGATCTTATCTCAAATATATTATACATAATATATATTAGAGATGGGCTTCCTATACATACAACCTTGCTTCGTTGGTATAGTAAATACTTGTTTCGATCTCAGCCTCTGATCCTTTTGTAAAATCATATTTACTATTCTAATAAAAGGGCAGCATATATATTGCAGCTCAGTGTTAACGCTCTTTTCTAGCTCCTGAAATAGAAGTGCATAGCAGTCACTGGATCTTTTTCCTTATAATGGGAATTATTTTTCAGAAGTCAGCTTACTTATAGTATTGCTCTCTTTACTAATTAATATGATAATTAAGAGTGCTTACGCTCTCTCTCTCTGTTCGTGTGTGTGTGTGTGTGTGTGTGTGTGTGTGTGTGTGTGTGTGTGTGTGTGTGTGTTGTGTTTGTACACAGAGCCAGAGGGGGTAGAGGTCATTGTCTTCCTTAATCTCTTCTCTGCCTCATTTTTGAGATAGAGGCCTTTACTGAAATTGAAACTCACCGATGGGCTGGACTGGCTGACCACAAACAAGCCTCAGGGATCTTCCTGTCTCCCTCTCCCCAGCACTGGAATCCCAGGCGTGGGTAGCAATTCCTGGTTTTGATGATGGGACCCTCACTGTAGTGCAGCAAGCACATTACTTGACTGAACAATCTCCCCAGTCCCCCAAAATGAGCACCTTAAAAATAATAAATTCCCTCCTTGAGCCTTTGCTGGCTGTATATTCATCACTCCCTTACCCCTTAGGCCAGCCGTACTGTTTATGCAACTGCTTCCCGACAGTGTTTGCCTTACATAAAATGCAGTTTGTGAGATCTCACTTGTCCTGTATCAGAAGAGTAAATGCCCGCAGTTTATAATCTATATCTGAGTTAACATGGAAGAGGCTACCAACTGGCAGGGAAGTGGAGCAACACATATATTTACTGAGTTATTTTTAAATGTGTAGATGTGAAAGTGCTTTCTCTCTCTCTCTTATCAAAACACAAAATACTCCCTGCTCCATTCTCACTTCTGAGGAGAGCCTCTAGTCAGCTGGTGGCTCTGAGTCAACTGAGGAGGGCAATTAACTGTTTCTGGTCAGTAAGGAGGAGCTGTCTGCAAGCCCCTGCGCAGGAGAAGGAGTTAGCATCTTGGTTCCCTCCTGGTTCAACACAGGGAAAAGGAAGCTGGGGTGGGAACTGGGCAGGAGAGTGTTGGAGCCCTGGTGTCTCTTACTGATGGCTCTCCAGATCTGGCAGAAGACCAGCGTGAAGCAAATGAATGCCCAGTTCCACTCGTGGTTCTTCCCAACGGTGGACACACCCATGAAGATGAAGATCAAGGTCTCGCTGACGCTGCTCAGCATCTTCATGAAGTACTTGATGGTCGTGTAGGACGTCTGGGACACGTTCTCTTCCACATACTTTTTCATTGTCACCGCACAAGCCGTGATTCTAGAGAAGAAGCAGAGGCTCAGGTAGACACAGCGTCTGTCACACCACCAAGGTTGCCTGCCCAGAGCAAAACAAGGCTGTATAGAGTGGAAGCCCACCTCTGTCCAAAATCAGTGTCTCATCCTGTCTGGGGACCTGTCCATCTCTGGCTGTGGAGCACAGATTTGCTCCCTTCCTCTTCAACCAGGTACAGGAAAAAGCAAGTGTAGTAGAAAGCCTTCACACCAAACACACACACACACACACACACACACACACACACACACACACACACACGCACCGCACGCATGCACGCACGCGCGCACACACAAACGCACACACTGACATATTGTTCACTCAAGAAAATCAGAAGCAAAATGCATTTGGACCTCTCTTTCCTCGCAGAGAGCTTTTTCAGCCCTAACTCTGGCTAGAGGATACTTGACTTTGCCTTAAACCAAATTAAGTCTGCTTCAGTTCAACAGATAGAACGCTCAGTCTGCTCTCTTTTTTAATCAAGTTTTTTTTTCTTGCCTCTGTCTCCTGAGTGCTGTCCTGACATAATACTCCATCCAGCTCCTAAGTGGCATTTCTTACAACCACGTTATTTAAATATTTCAAGTTTTTCTTTTCTGGAGCCATTTACCTTGGATGGCAGAAAGAAGGCCCTTTTCTTGTCCTAGAAATTGTGGTCATTTTAAGGAGGGAAAATAATGGTACCTAAAGTCCATATTATTATATTTAATTGGCATATGGATTTCTATATAGTACAATTAAAACTTTCTGCCTGGATAGTGACCAGAGCTAATAGGCCAAACTGAGAAACCTCGTTCTAAGAAGTTTCAAAGTTACAAGGATATGAGGTTGAACACCATGTACCTAGCTTTATTCTCTCCTGAGGGGAGTGTGGGTTGTGATGGGGTTGGAGTGGAATAACAACAAACAGAGCCCAGAGTGGAAGTTCCTCATGGCATGCCTCCTTTCTACTTCAAAAATATTATTGTTATTATTATTATTATTATTATTATTATTATTATTATTATTATTGCTATCTTTTTTTTGAGACAGGGTCTCTCCTGGCTGTCCTGAAACTTGCTATTTAGATCAGGCTGGCCTCAACCTCACAGAGCTTCACCTGCTTCTGCCTACTGAGTGCTGGGAGTAAAGGTGTGCACCACCATGCCTGGCTCGAAAATGAATTTTTTGAGGAAGAAAATAAACTGTTCAGATGGACTTTAAGCTTGAACCATTCCCAGCTCTTCTTCGAGCCAGCGTTCCTGAACATTTTAAATTGACATTCTGATTGCTAGACTTTCCTCAGGCAAATGTCGCAGAGAACATTTGTTTGGCAAAGGACCAGAATCAGTTTTCAGAAAGTTAAGAAATCCTCAACCCTGCAGTGCCTCGGGGGACTAGCTTCAGGCCTTTCCCAAATACACAGGCCATACAGCTCTTAAATTGTCTATATGTTCCCATGGGACTCCATCCATCGATTGTACTCACGCCAGGATGCCAGAGAGATAAAGTGTCTCAGCTGCTAAGTAAGACAGATAGCTGAACATGAAAACGATCAGTGGCTCAATTGCAGAGATATTCTGAGTGAAACGTGTGATAAATGCAGAAATGAATCCAAAAATGATGCCGAAAAATACTCCCCCACACCCCACGATGACGAATCGGGCGCAGCCGGCCAAAATGTCCACAGGTTCTATGTCCTCAAATTTATGCATCTTAGTGAAGGCAATTAGTATGTTGTATAGGACCTGGAAAAATACAAATGAGAGAAACATGAAATAGACATTAGAATACGTTACACGTGGACTCTCTCAACTTTGCATTAAGTTAAACACAATACAAGAGTAAATGGCACAAATATTAACACAGCCACCCAATTTTTAAATGCACTCCAACATGTTTAGACATATCCAGATTCACTGAAGAAAAGGCAAGTATTTGGATTTCAATAATTGAGCGCGTGACGAATGTTTGAGGAGGTGGGGATGCTAATTATCTCAATTTGATTATTACATATTGTGCACACATACTGAGTTATTGTTCCACCCCATGCACAAGAGCAACTCTTCTAGCAAAGGAAAGTGCTAATACCAAATGAACGCTCGCTGTGTGCCAGTCTCTTGGCTGTGATTCCAGATTCGGTTAATGTATTGCTCCTCTGCTTTGAGCACGCACGTCCTAGTACGCTGCGTCATAACTGTGATTCCTTGCAGCCTTTCCTTTAAAGTGAGCATAAAGTGGGCACAAGGTTAAGCTCCCTCAGCAGAGTGCAGAAGGGACACTCGCAGAGAAAAGGGACCCCTTGAATTTTCTTTAAGTCCTTCTGGGAGGAGTCACCCACGTGGATATGAGGACTTCCGGTAGAGCCTGCCTGAGTCACATGCCCTGAAAATAATCCCTCCGCAGCCTTGCAGCTTCAGCCTGCTGCGAAGCTTTCTACAAAAATCCTGGCATGGGCCGTGTGCTGGGGTCTAACCCAAGCAGCACGTTCTCTGCTAGCCCAATTCAATCTTCTTCCCTGGGTCCAGTCTTCTCCTCTGAAGACCTTCTGCCCACTCTAGAACCCAGAATCTCACAGCATCAGGGTTTCATCAAGTCTGGTCAGGCTTGCCTTTCAGAAAGTGGCCTTTCATTTGCCCAGTCCCTCTTGGCCAGCTCTAGCTTGACTGGCTCAGCCAACGTCTCTGCTCTCCACTGGTCAATCCACATTTTCCCCGGTGACACCAGAATCCGTGCAGGCTTTTGCACACTGCTAGGCTTCTCCAAGGCCCCAGTTTCCTGCTTGTTGCTGGATTCGCATTCTTCCTTATATTGACCCTCCAGAAACGTAGGGTCTCACATATGCTAAGTATGTACTCCACTGTTGAGTGCTCATCTAGCATATCTCTAGTCCTTTTTTATTTTATTTTGAGATAGGATCTTAAGCTGCCAAATCTGGCCTTGAAACTCATTTTGTAGCCAAAGCAGGCTGTGATGGTTAATTTTCATTGTCAGCTGTGTGGGATTTAGAATTCCCATGGAAACAGTGATTCTATGTATGTCTGTGCATGTCTGTGAGGGAGCGTCTAAACTGAGTTCACTGAGGTGGGAAGACCCACTCTAAATCTGGGCAACACCATTCAGTGGCTGTGAGCCCAGGACTGCACAGGACGGAGAAAAGGACCTTGGCATGAATATGCATCTCTCTCAGCTTCCGGGCTGCAGATGCAGAGTGACCCACAGCCTCAAGCTCCTGCCACTGTGACAGTCTCTATGTCTTCTAACAGGAATAACCCCTTCCTCCTTTATGGTGCTTCTTGTTGGGTATTTGGTCGCAGCAAAGGGAAAAGTAACTAATTCATAGACCTTAGATTTGTAATCCCTCTGCCTCTACTTCCCTTTTAGCTGGGAATGCACCATCAGGCCAGAGTACCTCCATTCTTCATTGTAACCTAACAGCTTTTGAGCTCTGGCTTTGGTATTACCTGCAGGGCTTGCCAGAATGACATGCTTTTGCAGATGCTGGCAGCTCGACCATGGTCTGCAGGCTGCATCAACCATTCCTTTACAGCTGATTTCCCAATCCTGTCCTCTCTACATCTTTTCTATGAATCACCTCTGTTGATTTCACACACAGAGAGCTTGGCAATTAATGATCATTGACTGATGATGGATTATTTTATTATTAATTATGTGTACATGTGTTTGTCTGAGTGTGGTATGTGCATGTATGAGTGAAATTACATGTGGGATCCAGAAAAGGGCATCACATTTCCTGGAGCTGGAGTTATAGGTAAGCGTGTGTGTGTGTGTGTGTGTGTGTGTGTGTGTGTGTGTGTGTGTGTGTGTATAAGAGAGAGAGAAACTTGATGAGGGTGCTGGAAACCACATTCAGGTCCTCTGAAAGAATAGTATGTATTCATAACCACTGAGCAATCATTCTAAAGTCATCTCTAGATTGATATCTTACCATGCATGTAATCATAAATAAGGAAAGTTCATTGAAAACCAATGCCCCTTCTAGCTTTCCAAGGATATGGACAGAAACAGTAGCAAGTGGTCTATGAGGAGAGTTTCCTTTTCTGAGGATCATGAAGTCACCATGTACCTTGTTTTCTTGGCTGTAAAATGGTATGTATGCATGTATGCATGTGTGTACATACATATGTATTTTGTGTATGTATGTGTGCTGGCTAGTCTTAATGGTTGAGCAAGCCAGTAAGCAGCACCCTTCCATGGCCTCTGCATCAGCTCCTGCCTCTAGGTTCCTGCCTTGTTGAGTTCCTGTCTTGAGTTCCTTCAAGGATGAACAGCAATATGGAAGTGTAAGCCAAACAAACCCTTTCCTTCCCAACTTGCATTTTGGTCATGGTGTTTTGCCACAGCAATAGAAATCCTAACTAAGACGGTATGTACCCACTTATTTTCCCACCTAAATTTGTGGCACATCAAAAATTTTACAGCATGGCCCTTAGCTTTAGAATGTGAGCTAGCAGAGCAGGTTTTCCTCAGAGCAGTTCAAGTATCTGTCAACAGACCTCATTTGATTTGCCTCATTGACCACAGGCTGCTGATGGAAGAATGAAAACACCAGGGAAAAGCCCAGGACACACTGAGTGTGTGCGCTGCTTGTTTGATTTTAATGTTATAAGCAGCTGGTAGCAAGATTGGCCAGATACAGAAGTATGAAGAGATTATGACAAGGTTTTCTGCCTTTCCCCAAAGAGAAGTTTTAACTCATCAGGAGAAGAAAAGGCTGGGGATGATCGAGGAGAAAATACCATGCAGATTTGCTGGAAGCAGTGTGCACTCTCTCTCTCTCTCTCTCTCTCTCTCTCTCTCTCTCTCTCTCTCTCTCTCTCTCACACACACACACACACACACACACACACACACACACAAAATGTACACTAAAATACAGAAATGTTGAGAAAGAAGAGTGTGGCCGATGACCTCCCTGCATGCTCATAATCCCTCCCACAGAGACCACTGGAAACATGAATTTGTCTTTTGTGGTCCTGTTTTTCCTGTCTACGTGATGTGGATCATCAGTTTCTGTACCTGTAGCACTCAGAGTCCCTCATATCTCTGGCTGCAGAGAGGGACATTAACCAACCACCTACACTTCATTTCCATAAGTTGTTCTCCAGTGAGGACTGAGGTGGCAAAGGCACAAAGGGGTGCCCTTTCCAGGAAGACAGATACTCTTCTGACTGGTGTCCTCAGTCTGAAGATTCCCCAAGGGCTAGGTAAACTCTGAAAAAGTCAGCAAGACCGTTCCTGCCAGTTTCCCTCCTTCCTCTCTGTTTCATGCAGTTCAGTCTGCATCTGGGTTTATGGACTGCCTCTGCTCCCTGGCTGCACAACATGAGAGCCTCCCTAATTATGCATTGCAGAGCTGATACCCTCTAGGGTTCGACTCTGGGTGAGCTAAACAATATCCATCGAAGGATTTATTCACCAGTCATGTTTTACAAAATTACTCTATAGAGTTCAAGCAAATATTTTTAAAGCATGTTTTGGGAAGAGTTGTGACAAGCTTTTGAAGTTTGTGATTCATGGTTTTTGAGTAATTCCAAAAGAAACTGTGCTTGTATCCAATGAAGTAGCTTAGCCTCATATCACTTTCTAGCTGACCATGGACCAATCCACACATAGGTCTTTGGAACTTTGGATATTGCTCATTTGGGTTGGATTCACAAAGGAGTGAAGCAGGGCCAGAAAATGGTTTCACAAACCCATAGAAAGTAGGTTTGAATGTGGTGAAGTGGGCATTCATTTGACTCTCAAATCCAGAGGAAATACATGGAGCATAATTGCAGCTCAAAGATTTGTATATTGTTGCCACAAACACAAACTCTTTTACATAGATTTCCAGATTATAAGTGGCTACACAGTCATCAGGACCTATTTTGACCTTGGATTCCAGCAGTGACAGGTATAGAAAGATGTCTTGGGACTTTTAGAAGCTAAGTGACCCACACAAATAATAGACTACATTTACACCCAATTCATACTGCTCTGTGAAAAGAGTCTTTACTTTTCAAAATATCAGTCTCTGACTGTCATTATAATCACAAAAGATTTTCTTTGGATTCATTTCAAATGTATATATCTTTCATGTATGAACAAAGAAGCCAAATCTTGCAAAAGGTCCCTGACACATGAAGAGTAAGACTCATTTGTCCCTCTTGACTCATTATCTCAGGGAAAGGGTCATGCTACCTTTGACAAATACCCCCAGCCACCCATGACTATAATTGAAGCCACTGTGAACATTCATAAAGCCTATTCAGTCCAGAAAACCTTCACGTGATAACTAAGTACATCAGCTGACCCACTGAGACTCAGAAATGAAATGTCAAATTCTAATGTAAATACTTCTTTCCATCTTAGCAAATTTGTTGAGGATTGATTTCCATAGGACACACTGCTGAGATGAGTGGATTCTGGCCATGCTACACACCCCTAATAAAACACTTTAGGGAATATACAGAGACCACGAACTAAAAATGTGAGCTTGAACGAATCTTTCTTAGTGCTAATCATCTTGGCGTTTAGTGACACAGAGTGACAACTATGTTATGGCCCTGATAAGTTCACCAAAGATAGTTCTATTCTAGTAGGGCTATGGATGCCTGCCTAATGATCTTCATAAGCCATCATGCCATCTGCTGACTATACACTACCCTCTTGGTGATCTTAGCTTCATGCTTTTCTCTCTAATCTAGGAAGTAGAAGTTTTGAGTGTGGCTATCCTCATACTGAT